TGGTAGTCACCTTTGCATTTGTTTAGTGAAGCAACAGAATTCCACTGGCCCGCACAAGGGTTGTAACTCTCCACGGTCACTAGGTCAGCGTACTCCCTGTTCACTCCTCCCACGGCATACAGCTGACCATCTAGAAATGCGCAACCAGCGTACTTGCGTGGAATTATCATAGGTGCGATTGCGCGCCATCTCTTTTCGTTGAAGTCAAAGAATTCTACGTCGTTTAAAACCTTACGATTTTCTGAAATTAAAAAATAATGACAGTAAAGAGTCGACACTAAGTTAAAGCTTGAACCAAGAAGATTAACTCTTTTCTTAGATCTTTATTCAGAAAACCAGAATGGTGCCAAAGAATTAATCGGATTGAATACAAGTACAGACTAAACATGATATTTAGGGTATAAGGCAAGAGGACAGGAAATAATTTTGATAAACTAAAAGACCGTTCATTATTTGTGCCAAGGAGTATGCTGGAAGAATCCATAAGTAAATATAACAAATAGTTATGACCCCTTCCAGGAAAGAAAAAAACGGCATGGTCCCTCTTAATGCACTTTTAAACTTAGATAACTCCCCCGCTTCCCTATCCTCGGAAAAAAATAGAAGAAAGAATCAGGCATTTACGTTCAACCTTTAATAAAAGACATATTTATTAATTCATCTCAAACAAAGATACAAAATTCAAGCTGATATTAATAATATTTATTAAATCTTCTCCATCTCCATCCTCTCTGTTCTCTCCACCCTCTTCGTCCTATCCTTCCACTGCTTCCTCATCCTCCTCTTCTTTCTCTGTTCCCTCTTTTTTCTTTGTTCCTATTTCTAAAGCCCACTCTACTAACATTTCTTGTACACATTTTCTTGCATTTAAGTGCCGGTGTTCATTTTTAAGCACGGATGGTTAATGCAACCTTTGTATGCCAGTCTCGTATTAATTTCTCTAATTCATTTAACTGCATCATTTCTTTTGTAATGCGCTGATCAGCTCCCTCTTTGCAGTTTAGCTTGATGATCAACAGAGACAACAGAGACGGCAAAAACAGTTCGAGGAATATAACTGGGACACTCTGTGTCACACTGGTGAAATCCAGCAGCTAACACTAAGTCCGAGAGCTGAGTATTGCCCTCATTTTAACCTTTCACTTAAAGGCAAAAACAATGATAAAAGCCGACGGATAATCTGTCATGCTTCAAACAAACAAGGTGATGAAATTAATGCATATATCGCTACAAGGCAAGACCTAGTTATGAGGACTGTGATACGAGACAATGAAATTAGTGATTCTGAGGAAGAAAGTGACAGCGACGATGACCTTGTGATTTCACATTACAGTAGTGCGGAGTCCTCAGAGAGTGAAACCAAAGAGGAAGACCTGGTACGAGTCGTACGGTTACTTCGTCAAACTCGTTCTGGACGCAGTCTTGGGACACCATTCTCTCCATACCGTGACTGTTTTCTGTATGACCACTAAATTGCGACGTATAAAATGTTCAGAGGCTCGAAATCATGTACTATTTAATACTGCCGACAGCAATAAACGCATTTCTTTGAAAATAAAGCAAAAATGTAAAATCATACAGCCCCCGTTCTTGTATGCCAATTTCCTCCAACCTAATCCCCAGGGCCCACCTCCAAAGCCAGGGAAAAGCGCCCTGGGGACGAGGTTGAATTTCCTCATGATCCCCCCTCGGACTGTCCTGAATTTGTCGTGCCCCACCCACCCCTTATTCTTGCAAGCCGACCCCCTGGCATAAATAATGGACCCTAAGTTATAACGTTCAGTCTATCTGGCAACTAATTATTTGGCTCTTATTTGCACGGCTAACACTTCTTACTGGCCTGCTAGCCTTGGTGGCAGTTGCTTGAAGGACGGAAAGAGAAAATGCAAATTAAGGTGCAAAAAAACGCGAAAACGCTGGCAGGTAGACTGTGAGAGACATATTTCCGGTTGTCGCTTCTCTACACCCCAATTTCTTCTAGTTCAAGGCAACCTCTTGTTCAAGGTTAATGCACATTTTTCTTTGCGACGAGTGTCCTAGTGTTATCAGAACAGGACTGGGGTCAATTCAGTCAACTGAATGAAATGGCTACACTTGTATTAAATTACTCTTGTAAAAGCTTGAATTGAGCCCTGGTCTTGAAGCTCTGTCAGGTGCCAAGGCTTACTATGGTAGCAGCCCCCATAGATTCTGCGGTTATTTCATGTGTTAACGTCAAAGAAGGGGAAGAGGTTAATTACTCTTAATCGCTTAAAAAAAACTTGTGCTCGATCTGCTTAATCACTCTCCAAGGCTTAGTAGTGTTCTGCTTTGCTTGCAAGATGGTTCGTAACAGATGACGTTGCGGAAAAATTAACATACTTTTCATTATTTAATGAAGCTATACTTGTAAAGAAATCCGTTCTCTAAGAAGCCACTAGGAGGTTCATATCATAATACCGTCTTGCTTTACTGTAATTTACATCCTGAAAGACCCTGCGCGGATATATTAACCTGCGTCACAGACACTCTAGACCTTCTGTGTAAACTATACAAATGGTTTAGACAAGTGCGTGGGCCGGCTGCAACTCGGACTAGGGTATGTGTAGGAACGCAATTTCATAAAGGCTGACTTTTATTTTCGCACATAATCTTACAATTCAGAATCATGCTAAAAG